AACCGCGGTGTTGTTTTCACTCCTGAATGTCATGAGTACCATTGCATTCATTAATTAACACTTACTGAGTTGCGTTGATTATACAGGGCAGATATTTTTTCAGGCAATTTGTAGAAAATACGTGCCATCAGTTTGTAGTAATTATTGCATGGGGTAATAGTTGTTTACACTGGAGCTTCAACCTGGCACACCGTGCAGAAAAAGTGGAAGGGCAGGCTCGACCATCTAAGATGCCGTTGGCAGACTTTTCTTTCAAAGCCAATCTTGAATTAACACTTACCAATGATAATTTAGTAGACCTGATACTTAGCACATGGTATTTTGTTTACCGTTAAAAGGAATGTGAACAAGGTTACATTAAAAAGCAGACACATCTGAACTGTAAACTGCTATTATCATAATTGTAAAATTATGGACACTGAGGGTGATGTTATTTCCCACAGTCGATACTCACAGGCTTTTGTTTTGAGATATCAATTCTATGCACTGTGAGCGTGTTTGGTTTTGAGGTTTTATTATCAACCTGAAGATAAGAGAACACAAAGAAGAGCAATCTCAACTGCAGCAGGCAGGGGCTGATTCAACCTACCGGTGGAAGGGAGATGGAGTTTTGTTTGTGGGCCCTCTTCCCCAGTCACTGAATAAAATCAGTAATATTATTCATAAACACAGTACACAGTATAGAAATTGCCCAAACTATTCCTACTGAGCTATAAAAAAACACAACACTAATTCATAGTTTATTACGTTAAGGCCTGTGTAATATTACTGCTAATAATGAATAATTCCTGTCATATCTCTGTCTAGACTTAAATATGTGGAACAGTAACTTACAATGAACTTGAAATATGACATTCTTATACATAATATCTAACATTACTTTCTATAATATTCTATATAACATTACTATCTTCTTTTGTAGCCACTCAACAATGCATTTATAATACTTCTCCCATACACTCTATCAGTATAACATTATATGATAGTATTTGATAGTGACTGCTGCAGCAGCCAAAGCTGGTCATGGTATGCAGCATATTCATAAAACACCCACATTAGGATCACCACACCCAGCCCAGTGTCACTGACCATCACTAATAGTTTACCATAGAGAAACAAGAGGCCGTGCAGGGCACTAATGCTTGCAGTAATCGGCCAATTGGCAACAATATCAACATCCCTTCAGTACCAAGGAGAGCGCATGCCACAGGTCTTACCTAACCAATAAACTAGAATTTACTCTGCAGCAACAAAAATTACCATCCTCACTGTTTGACTAGAATATGGATAAAATCAGTTTTGTTCATCATATAAACTAAGATTAGTGGAACAGTTTTGGAGCCACAAATCCACCATACTAAACAATTTCTCTGTTATTGTCACGTTCGCAGACACAGAGGAATGCACATGCAATTTTGTTTATCTCTTAACTTAATTAGCTCTGTGTGTTTCTCAGTGACGCCTGGTTCAACTCCAAGATAATGAATTATTTAGTTAACTCCAAGCAGCAAATACAACTTAATGTCCAGTTTAAGATGTTGGCCGTTCTCTGTTTCATTCTGGAAACCTGCCAATGGCTCTGAAAAACAGAACACATGACAAAACAAAACAAAAACAAAAGCTGCCTTAATGTGTCTGTAGGCCAGATTTTTGTTTTCTTTCCATTTTTACAGAAGCTTACAGTAGCGCTTGTGCAGTAGACTGAAGCACAGTGGAACAAACCATCAGAAAAAAAAAAATCCTGTCTAATTCAATTCAAGTTATGAGTTATTAATTTAAAAGACTAGTCTGCCAAAACAGCAAAGCAAAACAGATCACGGGGTCCCAGGGTTCATTTTTATGGTTTCTTTACAATAAACTGTAACAACAAGGAGAAACATTGTATGTCCCTCTGTAAAATATGTCCAACGCTGGGTGTGTCTACTGACTTGATTGAGTTTATCTGAGGATTTGAGGTGATAAAACCCCCATCAAGTCTATATGACTTTGATTTTTTTTTAAATTATAACTTATTTTTACATTTTATTATGATTACACATTTTGGACAAAACCCTCAGAGAAAAAACAAATCTTGGTATCTGTACAGGGGCCACAAGGTGCCTCCCACAGTCAGCTGCTTGTAGGGGAGATCTATCGTCTTGTTAACCAAATTCCCCGTTTCCTGTTTGCTTTGCGTCTACGGTTGCTGTAGTTTGGGTTCATGAGTTTCATAGGTTGTTAGGTCAGTTTTGAGGATGATTTTGATAGGGGGGAGCCCTTGGACATGAAGGTAGAACCAAACAATCCAAATCAGGCAATTGAGAAACACGCATTTTACACTTGTTTGTATTTTATGAAAATAAATGGAATTGAGAACCTGCACTGAAATTTCAGTTTCCCACTGAACTTACACGTCTTTTTCTAGACTTGCTTAAGCCGCACACACACCATACAAGAGTGGGATACTTACTGGCATACACAATGTAGACATACAAACACAGTATTCAGTGCAAACACAGCATGAGCAAATGAAAGCCATCTTCTTGACTTGTTTTAACCTGAACAAGGCCTCACTCCTTCCTGCATGCACACACAAGCACACGGACACACGGACACACACACACACACACACACACACACACACACACACACACACACACACACACACACACACACACACACGTACACAAACATATTTCTGTCCCCACTTGGAAAGCCTCTCAGCTTCTTTTCGCTTCATTCAGTACAAATAACTTCACGGTGGGATAAAAGCATAATGTTTCCAGAAAACCTCTTCCCCCCACTTTGCTTCACTCTTTTGGCCCCATGTTCTCCTTCACTTTTTCCTCCAACCCCCTTCTCTTGTGCTCTCTGTCCAAAAGGACATTCTTATTTCATTAGAGGGGGGTCTGGGAGGCCAAGAGGGTAAACAAAACCTCTGTAATCAACAGCAGGACATACACAACCACAAAGAGCCAATCAGAGCCCAGTGTCCTTTTAGTCAGAACCATAGCTAACCAATACAAATCCACACCTGGACGCTCAGAACTTGAACTTGCCAACTCAAACTCAGCACTTAGGTTTGTGTGGAATTCAGAATGTAGCCTAGCTCTGGGAGTCAAGGTTATCCGTAAGAAACACCAATCAAGGCATTTACGCCTACAAAGACACCACACGCACATACACACAGATCCCCGGCTATTTGTCTATCGGTGCTGTCATCTCTGTTTGCTCATATTAGGCAGGGCTCACTCAGGGACAGGATATGGGGATTAGGTCTGGCCTTATTGCGCTGTAGCTACACACCGCTAAATGGCTCCCATCTGTTCTCACATAGAGGATGGCTAATACATGTTAGCTCTACTCGCATTGTGCACTGCCAGAATAACAGCAGTGGATAGATGAGTAGCACTGATATCGCTAGCCACAACACCACTCTGTGCTAAAGGCTAATGTGCCTGGCTTATTCTATTAGATTGGGATAAGAAGCACTAATACACACATACATACACACACACGTGCGTACACACGGCATCCTGATATCTGATTGGAGATACCGAAGCAGTAGGCTAGTCACGGGTCCAACTCTAGGTCTACCTTGAAGGAATATACGTTAAAGCGGGGCAAGCTGAAATCTGGGGAGAGGTGGAAAGAACAGGAGTGATGGAAAAAGATGGAGAGATGGAAAGAGAGGGAGAAAGGGGGCAGTGTGGTCTGTTTCATTACGGTGAATCCTGACACTGCTGCATTCTCAGCACACATGGACTGGATTATAGGCTATGTGGGCTGCTCCGGCACTGTATAGCTCAGCAACGCTCTCTTGCAGACACACACACACACACACACACACACACACACACACACACACACACACACACACACACACACTTGCAAATGCACACACAAACATCATAGCTAAATACACTAAAGCTTTGCAGTGCAGGAAGACAAACCATTTGCTCACACACAAGCTATAGGACTCTTAATCCCAAAAGCAGCACCAGGGCAAAGTGCACAACTACTAAGTCATTGAGGTTAGAGAGAGAATCTGCTTGTGATGGTCCACCTGTGGATTAGTGGGGGAAAAAAATGAGATGCACTGGAAACTATGAGTATACCATGTTGCCTGGTTTTCTTTCTCGTTCCCACATAAATACGAGAGCACCCTTCCCCTTTTCCTCTCTTTTCTCATCGCTATCTCTCGTCTCACTTGCACATTTATAAATCTCTCTTTTTCTCTGTCTCTCTTCGTCTTACACACACGTATTAGCTCCAAGCGAACCATTACCCTCTCTGTACAGACCTCTTTCCGCATGTCTGTGTTCAAAGGCATCCTGAGTCTATGGGGGGCTTCGATATAAAACCCCCAAAACAGGAATTATCCTTTATGACTCTGCATTCTTCATTTTATGCTTTTTCAGCTTGCAGTCTTAAAAAAAGCTTCATGACTGTTCTGTGTTGTATTGTAATTAACTACCCCACACACTGGCACACAACAGGGTGGGGTAGTGCGGTAAAACTTTACTACGACTGAAAAAAGTGGGGCGCGGAGAGACAGACTCGTCCATCTCTGGTTTTTCTCACTATGTCGTTTTTATCACCTATGGGCCCTGGTAGGCTCGCTTTAGGCTGCTGGGTATGTATAGGTCTAATACCATCAAGTTACCTATATAGCCACAGAGTGCGCACACACAGCACGCGGCACAACCGGCATATGAGCACTTCACAGAAAGGCACCCATAAACCTCTGAATAAACTGAGGCTCTTTAGTCGACTGAAATTCATAAGCAATGGGAAAAGGAGCCGGGTTCTATTACACTCTCTTCTGTCAGAGTTGGGTAATGCTGTGGTTATTGTGGTATCATCAATGTTCCCGGCTAATGGTTACTCGAGCCCACTGAGGAAGCCTATTGTGTAGAAGATCATTAAAATATCTAGAGCAGACATACAGTACTAAACCCTGGCGAAGAGTATATTAACTCTAAAATTAGTAGAAAAATAGCTGTGCAATAGAAACTTACTGTGGACAAATGGATGAAGGGTCGCCACGGGGAAGGCCATCATGCCCATATTCCCTCTTCATCATCCTGTGAGAAAAACATGGGAAAGAAATCAGAATTGTCATTATCCATCCATTAACCCTCATTTTATGTGTTTAGTTCAAAAACTGCATGTATGTGACTGAAAGTTGCTTCCTTTTAGACCAAACTATTTACTGTACAAACTCTGGGACAGTGGTTATGTCTTTACTGGAGTCTCATTGCCTAATCTTATGGTCCTCCTAACCCCCTGTGGCTTTTAATCAAAACAATCCTGTTCATGTTCCTCATTCACAAAAGCTGTGTATGATATCATGAAATGCTTTCCTCAGTGTGATTGTTAGGAACCAATAACTAAACACACAAGGGGTTTCCTTGGGGCTGAAACTGTGCAGGCAAGAGCCCTGCTAACAGGAAGGCTAATTCACTCAGACACTAACATTACAATGGTTAGCATGAATTGGCAGCTCACTATAGCCAAGCCTTTGCCTGCATAATGCTAAAGTAGGCTCCGCTAAAGCAATGTCAATGCTAACGCTACACAAGGGCAAAAAACACAAGGGCCTTGGCTGCAGTCCACAGTGGCTTTGGCTGGACTGAGTGGTTGTGACAGGCTCAGTAAACTCAGTAGGCTATACCTAAGCAGCTAAGCTATAGATATAATGGCCTTTCAATGGAACATGCACGATGCTAAATGCTAACATTCAGTGAATGGCTGTGACAGGCCCTGTAAACAGAGCCAGACCTATAACCACTCATTCTGCTAGGTTAAACACACACACACACACACACACACACACACAAACACACACGCACACAGACACACGCACAAACAGGCCAAATACCATGTGCTACTTCTCATAAATGTGAAGCAGGCAGCATGTTAAGGCTTAAAAAAAAGAACAACAACCCAAAAGAAAAGGTTGTATAATTCTCTCTGATAAACACTTTATGGCTGTTTTCTATTTCCTTCCGAGGCTGCTGCCAAGTATCTGGCAGTGGTGCTGGCATGGCTAAATGAGAACAACATGAACACAACATGCCCGTCAAACTGCACACACTCCATGCTGAGACATAGGCCTGGGGTGCATCTCAAGAGGCTAAATCAACTTCCTGTGCTTGTCTCCTCTGATTAAATTTCACCTGTCCTCAGACTGAGTCCATCACAGATTATGTAGAGGACAGGGAGAATAGTTAGAGGATTGGGATGGACCCACTAACTGTAGCAACAAGCTTTGATTGACATGTGGTTTGGCTACTTGGAAAAACCTTGAAGTGTGTTCTTGTGTTTGTGTGTCCACTATTCCAGTGCATGCATTTGCACTTATGTGTCTTAAATATGCCAACTGAGTGTGCATGGGGTGAGTATGTTTTTGTGCAGATGCAAATACAAATGTAAAAAAAAAAAAAATTTAAATGCATGTGTGGTCACTGTTATGTTATTCATGGCACTGGCTATATCTTGGAAAGGCATTGTGGTCTCCAGGGTAAGAGTGCAGACCCTCTTCATCATAATTATCATTATCATCATCAATCATCCTTCGAGTCGCGTTCCTGGACCCGGCAATGCACTGAACCACTGGTCTGGCCGCATTTGGATATTACATTTGAGAGGGGAAAGATGGAGAGAGAGAAGAGACTGAAGGAAAGAATGAAGGAGACAGGGAGGCATGGAGAGAAAGAATGTGGGTGGCAAGAAAATACATCAGGAAGAAAGGTGATGTTAAAGAATTAAAAGAAAAGACAATTGAGGTATGATGAAAAACCCTTTGTGGTGAAAGCATGGTAAAAAAAGAGGAAAAAGGAAGAGAAGACGTAGAGGAGAGATAGAAAAAAAGAGTAAAAAAAACCCAAATAGAGTAATTAATCACTTGAATCATTTGAAAGAGGAAGATTAAAGGAGATGTGAAGTCCTGTGTTTGGAGGGAAAACAGTCTCACCTCGGGGATGTTAGTGACATCCAGACTGTGTGACCTGTCATCCCCCATCAGCAGTGCACACACACACATGCAGACACACACACCTCGGAGGCCTTACCCTGACCTCTGCCGAACTTCCCCATTAGGTCAAAGATCAGATATGAGGAAAAGCCACGAGGTGATTGGTTGACCTCTGTCAACAGGGCCTGTTGTTTTTGAAGTGTGTGTGCTTGAGACAAGAGGAAGAGCAATAGAGAAACACTTGGCTAAATAATCATCAGTTTGGCTAGAGGTTGTGGAGAGAAGGGGATAATGACTCTTCAATACACATCTTTGATTTGGAAATTTTGTTACTAAGCAATGTGTCTTGTGGTGTGCTAAATCTGTGGACACATATGTATGCATTGTCTTTTAACAAAACTACTTTTAATTTCTACCTTTTCCCCTGTTTAAAACCTATTCAACTTTAATTTCCCCCCAAATGTTGTAAATTAAGTCTGAGCCATCACAGTTCCCTTTTATAGACATAAAAATTAAACTTTAATAGAAGTCTAATTCAGCCAATCGGCTCAGATTTATGAGTTATTTTGTTATTCCCCACATTCTTAGCAAGATTTCCCAGCAACACTAATAATACTTTCTTTGCAAGGCTTTTTCACTCAAACATGAAAAGTTGAAATATCACTTGCAGAGAGCTACCGTTTCGTATGTCAAACACTATAAAACACAGCTGTAGTAAAACAGTGTTGGAAAGCCGTATTGAAGGAAAGATATTTATAAGTGCAAAGTAAGGGAGAGTAATGTGTGATACTAAACACTGACCCCCTGCAGCTCTCAGTTTAATATGAAGCCTGCTGTGGTTGCAAGTATTCTACAATAGAATAGAACAATGCAGAGACTTGATAGCGTTATAATATTATTTTAGCACGTTAGATGAAAAACACAACATAACATAACCTAATAACTACACACCTAGAATTTAAAAGTGGTCCTTGTGGGATTACGAGAGGGGGGTGGGGGTTGAGCTATGTTCCATGTCATTTGTTTCCATACTCTAAACTTCCATATAAGCACACGCTGAAAAAACGTAAAAAATAGATGTAGATTCATTCTATCGTTGAAAAGTATGCAAATGTTCACATAAATATACTCTACTATAATATATAACTCAAGTGTGGCTGAGATTCTGAGTAAAAAGTGTGCATATGGATGTCAATCAACCCCAGACCCTCACATTCTTTTAGGAATCAAAATAGAGTCTTTCCACAGGCGTAAAAGGCTAACATAATATTAAAACCAGCTATCCTGTCCTCTTACATATTGCTGAGGTATGTGTAGGGTGATGCATGGATATGATTGTGTGCTTGTATGCATGTGCGTGTGTTGGGGCAAGGACAGGGGATCCCCAGTGCATGTTTGACTCCAATTTAGACAGCAGTTTCAGAAACATTTATAAAGTCTAGAAACATGTAATAGTGTATATCAAATAGAACAGATGTGGGAATTTAGACTGAGGTGGAAATCCCCAGGCATTCGTCTTAAACCCCCAAGCACATATTCGCACACACTTCATCTTCATAGTTTGGAATCTCCCCAATCACAACCTCTTGACAACAATAGAGCTGTGATGAGTTTATACTGCATTCAAATAACTAGAAGTTTTTATTAGCTAATGGAAAGACTGTGAAATCATATCTGTCTTTCTTTGAAGATCGCTTTCTCCTGATAGCGCTTTTATCTGGGTACACAGTATCAGCAAAGACTCAGGTGTGCATCCACACGTGCACATGTACAGGCACGCACACGCCTAAAGTATGCACACTCAGATGCATGCACGCTCACACAAATACACAAACACGTTTTGCTGATAATAACAACAGTTTTCTCTTCTTCAGATGTCTTCAAACAGACACATTATGTTTGTCCTCGGGGCAGTCTGGATATGATACTCAGACAGAGAGAAGGAGCTCGTATGAGAGATGAGTGATATATAAACTAATCTCACACACAAATCCCATCGATCAAAAACACTCATTTGGCAGCTTTCCCCTTCAGGCTCCTTATCTAACTGATATGAATGACTCTGACTTGGCAGGAAGTAATGGGTTTGAGAGAGAAGAGACAGAGGAGAAGAGAGAGGGGAAATTTTGTGCTGCCGAGTCCGACCACAACTGACTGGTGGTGGAGATGACAAATATGAAACTGAATCAACTTTAAAAGCATGGAGATGAGAGCCCACAACATGTCAACTTGTGTAAACAAGCTCAAGCTTTAAACTGGTTGGTGTGGGCGAGTGTGTGTATGTGCACTTTCATATTGACCTGGTCCATAGGGGGTCGGTGGTTGGCATGGGCGGGCCCTCTTGGCAGGCTTCGGTGATGCATGTTTGCTGGATGCAAGTGGTGAGAATGATGAGGATGATGTTGGGGGTGGATGTGATCTTCTTCATAGTTATCCGCTATCAGCTTCATTCTGCTCTGAGTCTGCAAAAAAAGGAGATAAACAAGAAAATGTATAATCCATATTTATAACATGCATACACTAGGCCATTTATTCCCCCACAATGCTTATTTGTTTCTTTAAAATGTTCTTGGGGTCTTAGAGTGATTAGGCTGAGGGATTCTTGGATGGGGGGGAAGCATGTTGAAAGTCATCAAAGATGATAAAAACAGCACCGCTAACAACACTTGACAGGTCATAAATTGAGTGAGTCGGAGTGCTTGATGAAAATATTGTAAGTCTGTCAAATGTCATCCATATTGCAGATTATCATTTAATTGGATTAGACGAGTCAGTCAGTAAGAACAGTTAGTGAGTGTTTCATGTAGCCTAAGGCCACGGGCGTTCTGGCCCGGGTGAAGCAACCTCATTTTAGATGTCATTGATTAAAATTACACTCAAATATGCATGCCTGTGAATGGGTAAGTAAGACTATGTGTCCTTTGTTCGTGTGTATGTGTGTCTGTGCATCTGTGTGTATTTGTGTGAGTGTTTGTGGAAGAGGCTGTCATCCTGCCAACATCATTGCTTTTGAGAGATAACAGCCTAGGCTGACTAATGTTAACAATCAGCCTAAATCCAGTGAGGCCAGCTGTCCAGGACATAGACAGAGACAGAGTAAGTGCAGATATATTGACAAGCTCAGCTTTATTCCCTTAACTGCAGATACTTCCCCTGAGGGCGGACATGACTGCAGAGCAGGAGGTAGTATTGTGTATGGGATGAAGATGATTGTTAGGAAAGATATGCACACTTCTCTCGTCCAAAATGTTGCAGCTTTCCTGGTTTAAATGAGAGACAGCCATGGCAGGAAGAGACAAAAAGCCTGAGTCAGTTGTGAAGATAGGGGGAAGATGGTGTTACAGTAGTCAGCAGCCTGGGGACATCGCTGCTGAGATAAGGAGCTGAGGCCTAATGACTGAGGAAACGAGCCAGTCAGGATCACAGGAGAGGATGTGGCTGGTATTAAAGAGGTTAGCAATTAGCTTAAATGGGAGAAGAGCTGCTTAGATAAGGTGAGAACATTGACACTGTGGTGAGAGGGACAGAGAGAGACAGCGATAAAGATGAAGAGTGAGGGATGGGGGAGGGCTCAGACAGACACCAGACCAGTGGTTAGAGCAGTTAAAGGCTAGGTTGAGGTGTATGGCCCTCCGTGACCTCAGGTGTTGACACTAGCAGGTGTGACTGGGTGGGGCTGGCTTCAATACAACAGTTTCAGAGCTGACATGTCATTGAGTCTAGGACAATTACTATCATATACCATGCAGCTGATTAAACTACTGTACTGCTACACAGTAAAGGCTGTAGGTGCTCCCAGACCGAATCTATACCTAATAATGCAGTTTAATTCTCACAGAGAAATATTTTCAAAACTAATTTGTGGCCGAGGGTCCAAAAGGCTAATGTGTGTTTAGTCCTTGCTGCTAATCTAATAAGAACCATATTGCTTGTTCCTGTTCATCTAATTACAACCATATTTGGTAGGATGAGAAGCCAAATGTCCTAGAATGTGTTTGCATGTGAGTATGTGTGTGTGTGTGTGTGTGTGCGTGCGTGTGTGCGTGTGTGTGTGTGCATGTAGTTAATATTTAATGAACTGAGACAGAAACAAAAATGAATGAAGTGATGAATTGCTTCTGGAAGAGACTGACTGTGTGGTCAGGGTAGCCCACATGTGGCCATCCAGTTTATTCAAACACACACAAACACACACACACACACACACACACACACACACACACACACACACACACACACACACACACACACACACACACACACACACACACACACACACTCTTCTTACAGGAATATTCCTGTGTGCATGTGAAAAGGTGTGCACATATAAAATGTCTGTGTGGTGGAATGTGTGCGTTTTAATTAGTGTTAATTAGGGGCTTTGCAGAGTAAACAGCTCACTAATGGCCTCCAGGCCTGCTTGTAGATCAGTCAGACTGGAATAGACACAGGTGGCACTGCAGGGGGAGGATAGGAGAGGAGAGAGTTCTTGACATCTCTAACCATAACAGATTTGGCCAAGACAGTATGTGTGTGCAGCGAGTGGTCTCTGCATGTGTATCAAAGTGCAGCTGCTGGTATAAACATGGCAGTGATGATTGCGCTGCTGTGCTCACAGCTGCATCCCAAACCTCAATCTGGCCTCTGTAAATCACAAGCCCGTCCTGATTAGAGCAGAGCTGTATTAACACATACGGACACAGGAGGCTGACAAAAAAAAGTCCTTAAACAAACAGGCAGCTGGGGAAAGGCTGCACAATTTTCACAACACTTATACATACTCCTTTGATCAGGTGTGCGTGTGCAGCACTGCCATGCTATCCCAGTGAAACGCCGTAACACTGTGACCCCGCTCTGAGCAGGCAGATAGTTTTACATAAGCCGCTCTAAATGGCACACCTCTGAGAACATCAAATCCATATTTTCAGCATATAGAGAGTGAGGATGGATGCTCAACTGTGTCCAAAAAAGAGAGGGAGTGAAAAGGGAGAGGAAAAGTCACCAAAAATGGCATACCTTTGAGAATCCCAAATTCATCTTTTCTCGGCTTCAAAGCACCAGACTTTTGGTCATCCATCACCAGGATGGGACCACTCAAAGAATTCCCACATGGGGACACATTTGTTCTGACTCTCTCCTTAAGAAGTCTAAACACCATACTCTTCATGTCTATGTCCGTCTCTCTCTGTGTGTGTGTCTGTCTGAGAAAGGAAAGTTTGTCTTAGACCGCCTGCTTTATGCACACACACACACAAGATCTTCCAAAAGAGGGATGTGGGGAGGTCAGACAGGGCACTGCTATCTGTAAATCTATCTGCTGTCTACAGATCGGCTTTCTCCTATGAGACTCTGAGTCTCATAATTCTTCGGCATTTCCTGGTCAGTTTCCTTCCGCCATTGGCTGTTGAGGACCTGAGGAAGGCAACCTCTCTTGATATGTGTGTCAATGGGTCAGAAGACAGAGAGCCGGTGTGTGTCATGTCGAACAACATGATCTCAAGGGAGCTCATTCTGTGGAAGGGAAGGAACCCAAGAAGTGCAAAGACTCCCTGTACGAACTACTTACTTTACAACCTCCATAACATTTATAAATGACCCAAACTTTTATCACCTCGGTGTTGGGTGGCCATGGCACTGCCTGGTACACCTTTCCACTTAGCATTCACATGGATTTATATGCATGTGTGCCAGAGGACTTATTGAGAAACCAGTAAATGCTGCCCACTCCTCTCCTCTCACATCCCTTCCTTTCTTTTCTTCTCCTCTCCTCTGCGCCAGGCCCGGAGGCCACAACATTGCAATTAGAGCTCATCACATCATCAGGTGGACTGTAACTGCTGGTTACCCAACGGGAAAACATGACGCATCCAATAGCGATAAACAGATAATAGGCTTTCCTTGAAATTCCTCGAATAGAATTGCCCCCCCCAAGGAACTGTTTACCGTTTACGAGACACGAACAAACATAGGTCCGCACTTAAATGCACACCCAGCCACTGCATCTGTTGACTTTTAAATGCACCATGTTTCCCAGAAGCCCCCGTGACTCAGGAGACTGTATATGTGGACTCCCTGCTGTTGGCTCATTATTGTTAGCATTCACGTTAGCTCAGTCACTGATGTGGTCTGACCAGACCTTAATGACCCACATACCTTCATCAGCCTCAGGCTGTATTGAGAGACAAGGCAACATGGGAAATAGGCGTGTGCGCGTAGGTATTTGTGTTAGTGTGTGCTGGGATTTGTATCTGTTTGACCAGAAGAAGTGAAACAGAAAAGGTCCGCCAGTGACTCAACGATGATACCAACCTACGTCTGCGACTTGAGTACTTGTAATAACACTGATTGCAACATGATTGTTAAGAGAATAGCTTTGCTCTTGTGTTTATGCGCCTGGATTTGGAATCACAGCTCCTGCCTGACTGGTTTGGCTTATGATGACAGAACGCAGTAAGTGTGGTTTGAGGCGGGGAAGTCTACTCTGTTAACTACCAGGAATTATTAACCTCTATCTGTTCCTGGTTTTAAAGTTCAAAGGTCTGCCCATGAGGCTGTTTTAGTGCAGGCAAGAGCTTCACCGTCTGCAGCAGGTTTGAATTTGTAGTCCTGCTTTGATTCACCAAGCCAGAATCAGTCCACAACGGTTACCGCAAAGGCCAGGTCCCACTGGATTCATTTGCAGGCCAGTCAACCTCTTAGATATCAGTGCTTTAAATTTAATTCATCGTTTATATGCACATATAAATAGCTTTGTGGTCGCGTGTGGCGTACGTACCTGCTGTTTGAGCTGGTGCATGAGCCTGTCTTTCTCCCTCTTCAGAGCCATCACTTCCTCCTGGGCTTTCTTCCGTTTAGAGGAGGATAACTCCAGCAGGGCAATGTTAGCATCCTTCTCACTGATGGCTGCCAGCAAAGCCTGCTGCCTGAGGGTATGAGAGCAGGAAACGTGGAAAGAAGGGTGCAGAAGGTAAGAAGGAATGTTGTCATAGATGGACAAAATATAAAAACTCATATATATTCTCCAAAAAGTTGTAATGTGAAAATATGTTTAACAATCAGAAAATAGACAGGTTGACACAGATGCTCAGCACCCGAATCTGCAGCTGTGGGCCCTTACGTATGCAGATGTCACAGCAAGCTCACTCATTCCAGAGCTCCTTAAACTCAGACAGAGATTCCGCAGAAAAGAAGCAGACATCTTTGAAGTGGTCTGCTAAGTACTGTCTTAGTGGTACCTCAGTGTGACTCATGGGCATGTAATAATGTAATGGAGCCTAATAGAGTAGGCTGAGGAGGATATGACATCTTTCCTCTGTCACCGCCGGTTACCACAGTATGTGTGTGTGTGTGTCTGTGGGTGCCTGTAGGGACGGGGGTGGCAGCAAATGACTGTCTACAGGTGCAGATGAAACATACCACCAAGCGTCATCATGTAGACAACCAGATGTACAAATGTACTCCCACAGGATTCAAGGGAATGCCTTGCATAACCCCACTCGAATAAAGTCTGATTCTTTGGCGCAATTTGGTGATGACTATCCCCTTCTTCAAGCAGGATGTCGTAAATCCGATGTTGTGACAAACCCATTCTATCCGCCCACTCTTGTAAACACACTTAAAAGCAAAAACATATTCTCATAGCTAGCCAGACATACACACCTGCCCTACTATGGCCATTGACCCAAGGCAAACCGTAAAGCACACATTTATGTATGGTTCTTTGTCTTTGTAAAGTTCATCTGAGCAAACATCACAGGAGTCTCAATCTTTCAAACTAGTGTGTAGACACTGAAGGTATTTTAAGTTGGATAAACAAAACTGAATGGTGAGGGGTAGAGGAAGAGGAGGGAGGGAGGGTGCATTCAAAATACACTTTGGACTCAATTAAAAATTGACCTGCATTGGAGTGTTTTTATTCCATGATTTAAGTCCCTGCAGAAATAACTAAATTGTGAAAATAAACATGCTGAACTCAGAATAAAGTCCTGCTGGCCTGGGACTCAACATTGAGTGTTTTTAGTACAATTATCTGCATGCCGCATCTGGATTCTGGATTCTCCCATTCAAGGCCATTAATAGGCCTCTGTGTGTTTGTGCATGCTCAAGCGTGCGCTTGTATGTTGTGCATGTATTTGTGTGTGCATGCATGTGGGTTCTGACATGGATTGGAGCAGCTAATCACGCCATTAATCACAGAGCAGGACCAATGTGACACTTTTCGTCTCCCCACACCTCCACTGTTATTCCTTTTAATGCTCACTGTAATGGGAACACACACACACACACACACACACACACACACACACACACACACACACACACACACACACACACACACACACACACACACACACACACACACACACATACGCTGGACTTGTATCAAAGCAAGTGCTTTAGACTGCAGGCTTTTTCTGTTTGACCTGGCCATTCACAATGTAAAATGGAAAAAAAAAATCTTAAAGTAAAAAAAAAACCCATCAAGAAATCCACAAATTAAAATCCACAAATCAAACAACAGTGGGACTGATTTTTTAAATCCCTTTTCATATGATCCAGTTTTACATCCATAGCCTAACAAACCTAAAGATGATGATTTTGCATTTTAGTACATACAGCAATCCAATTTCCATTACTTTATCTTTGGCTGTGTTAAATAGAGTGAAGAGGTGATGGACAGAGTCATATATAGGCAAGGAATGCGGCACAATGTGTCACTGTTCATAAACAGTATGTCAGATTAACAACCCTAACCTACTTGTGAGATGGCCATCTTTGCATCACACTGCCAGACATGGAAACTCCAACAACAGACATTCACACTTTTCCTCATCTCTCTTAGCATTAACTGCATGCAATTACAGCTTGAGATTTTTGTTTATTTAGGTCAGTATGTGTAAATACACACAGAATAATCGCACACTAACCAGTCACCACTGGGAATAGGACAACATTTTTAGAATACTTAAGCAATCTAAGTGGGTGATGCATTAAGTGCAGAAAAGTGTGGGTGAAAGGTTAGGGGCACTAAACCCCACCCCAGTTTTAAAGGGGAGGTTTATCTAATCTGTGAACTCATCTGAAAAAGCCAAACAGAAATCCATCTCTTTCTGACCACCACTGAGTCACTTCATCAAGGATTGTTACACTCCCATTTATCAAGTTTCCCCCGCTGAATGAAACTAATGAAAGACACAGTTTTGGTGGTTGGTTGGTTACAAAAATAGAAACAATGATTATGAAACACTTTATTGATTCCAGCTAGTGTTGCAGTGACAAACTCTCGGTTTACTCCTGCTCAAGAAAAGCCATACACAAAGTCTGTGTGGCATTGCAGCTGTTGCAGACCTCTGCAAGGAAGCTATACTCAAACAGAATTACCTACTGTTGTCTTTTTATGAACAGAGCATGTGTTGCTGTCTCCGAAGACATTGCTGTCCCATCCATCTCACCTGCATTCCCCAATACAGGTACAGACTTCGCAACTGAAAATTACTGATTGACCTCGAGACGCTCTGAGCCCGACTGAATTAAACCTCTGAACCACAATGGCAGCCATGCTTCAGCGCAAGCTAAATCACTTCCAGGCTCTAAATTAACACAGCAGATTACAGCGCTGTCTCCCTGTGGGTGCTCTCTGAGTGGTACTGCAAGAGTCTGCTGAGTGATGTCTTCCTAAAGCAATAAAAAAAAGGGGACATTACTATGATTAGCCAGCCTGTAAACTTTGTCTCCCACATCCTCAATCAGTGATTGTGTGTGTGTGTGTATGTATGTCTGCGTGTATGTGCTGATTAGTATTACAAACAGCCTTTAAAACCAGAATCACACTGGAGTATTTAATCACATCTACTTTGAGTGGCCATTTGGCCTTGGTTGTAGAACACACTTGCAATGTACATGAATCTAGCAGACAGGATTCATCTATCAGACGCACACACACACACACACCCTCAGACACACACAAAGACATATTCTTGTACTGTATCTGCTGGCTGATCTTGAGTGGGTGAACTCTCTTTCTTTCCTCCCCTCTTGTCTCACTCCCTGCTTAACTTCGACTTGGCGTGTCCTGGACAAACAAAGGATTATCTTAATTTCCCTCCTGATTGAAAGGGCGACAATGAAATGGTTTTTCATGACAAACTTGTGATTAGTCTTCGTAAAAGTCAGACCCCATGCACTGAGAAGCCATAAGGCACTCCAATAAAAGAACAAATAAATCCCACTACTAGATCTCCAGTGTCAAAAATCTCATCTACTTTAGTTTTTCTCTGACATGACATAACAGTATTTTGGCTGACAAGGTAAACATGACACTCACAAAAACAGTTTTATATATATATCACATTCCTCATGTTTACTTTTACTATTATAGAGTAGGATAGAGAGAGCATACAAGGCTCTGTAGAAAAGCAGAGGCTGGACTGACATCTTATTTATAAGGGGTGAGACTCTCAGCTCCACTACAACATGTGATTCCAATTGAACCTTCATGGTCCCTGGGACATATTGAGACATTTGGATCCACAGAGGTGGGAGATAGATGGCTAAAGTACATGACCATGCGATGAGAGGTGAGAGGGGCTAGGAAGGGGGGAGGTCAGCAGAGACGATATGGAAAGAAAAAAAGGAATGCAAAGAGTGGAAGAAGAGAAGGGTAAGGAGATGTGAGACGGAAGGAGATAATTCAAGACAAAGGAATGATGAACGAGGAGAGAAGACTTTGATGAAGACATCTTTGAGGTGGGGCTGCTGTCGAAAGGACTGCGATGTCACAGGGCAGATGGGAGACTGGCAGCTTGCACAGATTTCTGGGTGACGAGGGGTTAAGATGGGGTCAAGAGTGAGCATAAACACACGTGCATACATTTGCACAACATAATTTCAAATAAGGAGGATGATAGGGGAGGTATACTGAAGGGGGAGAGAAAGTATGGCAGAGCCAATGAGTCAAGAATTAAAACAATAAAAAAAAAGACAAGAGATGGCAAGAGATGAAGGCAATAGAAGAGAGGAGGTTATGTGTTTGACAAGAGTGACTGCCACCTGTGCTGCATGAGAGAGAAAAAGGCGAAGAAAAGTTGAGAGGGAAGGGAAGAAAGGAGCAAAGGTAAAGATTTAAGAGTCCCAGCCTACCCTAAATCAGCTCAGCGCACTCCATGTTGTTATTCCTAGGCGTCACGGTTGAGGGATGTGTGTTTATAATTTGTGTTATGACTTACTTGAAATTATGAGTGTGGAGAGTCAGTGGGACAGAAACAGATGCGTCCATGTGATGCCCGAGGGAACCATCAATACTGTCTGCCCCTAAGTGCAGTGTGTTCATGCGTGCATGCATTTGCCTGTCTGTGCACACATTTGTGCTTTCATGTCTGTGTGTGCATGTGTGATGTATTTTTTTTAGCAAGAACATGGGGAGCCCACTAATATCTGTTCCCAGAACATCCATTATGAGGTCTTCTAGTTTGTGATCATGCCTTTCTACCACTTAACTGTCCAGCGCTGCAGAAACATTCCACGGGCATTTTATGGCCGTACCTTGATTGTGAGTGTGTCAAGGTGTAGCACAAGGCTGGGGGCCCCTGACTAGGCCGTACTAGAAGCCTGTGGTGAGAGCAAGCAGAGGACATGAGAATGGGGCATGGTTGAGTGACACTATTATTTATGGCCTTGGAACACTGTGTTATTTACAACTGAGGAGGTAGGAAAAATGTCTATTTCCAACATAAAACACACGCTCTGGCTTCATTTGGTAAGCTTACTGCAAAGCCAGTTAAGATGGTAAATCTGTGTTTCAACCCTAAATGTGGGTTAAATGTATTTTTATGAGGTCCAAGTTTTGGCTACCTTAGATAGGATTAGCTCCATGCTAACCTGTAGCAGCTAACCTGAAGCCAAATGCCAGATGTAACTATTACCC